TTGCACGCGCCCAGGGCTCGGAATCCCCCCTCTGTGGATTGCGGCATCCATTATTTTAGGCCAGTTCCCCACCACCGCCACACACACACACATTTGGCATATTTAAGCGGATATTGGGATTTAATAGGATATTGTGTGCATTTAGTTCTCTCCTCCCACCCCAATTGTAAAGGTATCACTGCCCGTTCCAGAAGTCGCCATCTATTTCAATGAGATTAACTTTCAAGTAGTCGAATTTCGGTGTTGTGTGGGGTTTGTGTGTGTGTGTGTTTTAAAAGGATCAGGATGGGGCGCGTGTTTGATATCTCCCCCGTACTACAGTTTCTTACAGATGGCCGTAGACCATTTAAACAGCTCAATTCGAAGTACAAACGACAAGACTGCAACCAGTGATACGGGAACGGGCTGGTCCTTTCTGTCTTGATAAACAGGAAGGAGAAAAAAGGAAAATTAATATGTAAATATAATGTTCCGGGTCCACTGGAAACATTCATTGAGCGGCAATTTTTGCCGTTGTTAGCTTTGACTCTGCTACAGAACTAGTTAATATATCTCTAATTTAGCATCTGTCAATTGTTTCGGACGCTGCCGAGTAAAGGGAAGCTTGAGAAGGAATCGTGGCAGTGTCTGATTTTGCAAGTTTGAACTTCGGGGGCGGGGGGGGAGGGAGAGAGAGAGAATAGGAGGAGATTCCCAGCAGCCTGATCCCATTAGCTCCGTCCTTGGGTTGCAAATTTATACGGTCTAAGAGGTGAACAGATGGACTATCAATTTAATTCCATCTTCAACACCATCAGAGATTGATTTTCTACTCGCTTTTAATTTTGCTATAATTAATTAGATCATTACAACTGTTTTCTATTGATCTTCCTATTTAAACCTCAGATGCAAAGGGACTTGAGCAGATCTTTTAGAGACACAGAAGGGAAATGGAACAGAGGGGACCGCCGCTTGGGGGGGGGTAGAGGTTGTGCTCCATTTCCCGACTAAAATCGTTGCGTGAGGGACTGGGAAATTGTTTAGGCTTTCCTTTCAAGTACCAGGCCTAAAGCAAGCCTGTAACACACGACAGTTAGTGAATTTGTATAATGTATTCCTGGCGGTATTTTATCACGGACCACACAGTCAAAGGCAGACGCGAATCAGAAAAGTTTTTGGACCCATCTCCCGACACACCCACCCCGACCCCCACCCAAAAAAGGAAGGAGGCGTTATTTGCATTCACACCTTGCTGGTTAAAGAAACTAGCTTCCCTACCTATTATATTTAAAGACATATAGCACGCATACACAGTTATTATTTAAGGCAAATTTCCACTTTATAAACATGTTATGTTTCATGCAATAACATAAGCTTTAACAGAATAAATTGCTGAAAATGCTTTTTTTAAAAGGGTACGCTTGTTTTGAAAATGGAGAACACAAGCACATCGCTTGGCCTTTAGTAAGGGTTAAACCCCCAGCCCGACCCACAATCCTGCCAATTTGGTTCTCTGGAGTCCAGCCAGGATTTCAGTTCCGGCGCTTCGATCGCTTGGTAACACCGAAACACCCCTGATAAGGCTCCCTCACTCCGCATGACTGTCAAAAACCCGGTGGCATGAGAACCTCTCTTCTCTAGCTCTTGTGGCACTAAGATCCCAAGTTAGGCAGGCTGCGGGGCCGAGACGTCATCTCTAGCTCCAGTTGCGTAAAGCCTCGTCGCCTCTCCTCTGAGTTTTCCAAAACCACCAGGAGGGCTTCCCAATGTTTGCTCCATTAGGACGCACACATGCTTTATATAGGGAGCCTCCAGACAGGTCTGTAGTTCCCCAGTTTCCCATCTTGTTCCCAGTATAAATTCCCCAGGGCCCTCCTTCCTCTCCTACCCCGAGTTTGCTCATCCTGCCAACCAGAAATTAAAACGTAGACTGGGGAAATTTAGGATTAGACCACAGTAATCTCGGTGCTTTGGTTTGTGGTTTATGGAGGATCTAGCGGGGCGAGAGCCTCAACCCCACATTTCTCTCTTTCGCCTCACTCGTATAAAACACTGCCGATAAATCCCCCGTCCAGATGGATATCTGCTTAACCCAACCACGGATGCCTCTTCATAAGATTTGAAACACGAACAATCCAGCAGGGATATTAAAAGCCGCCTTTTTGCTTCAGTTGCTTATGACCAATTGCGGCGCTCTTTAACTTCAGCCCACTCCCTGAACCTGGATGGACGCGCAGGAGGTGCTCTAAACTCTAAAGCATACACGGGATGAGAGGGAGTCCCGAGGCTGTGCTTTCTTAGGCCATAACCCTTCAGGCGCTAAATGCTAATTGGAAACGTATGAAAATGCAAAGAACCCGATGAGAGGGGGAAAAAATGAAGCGTTCCGAAAGAAATCTCCTCCTAGGATCAGTGTTCTGATTCGGCGCCGGGGCCACGCCGTGAAGGCTGCGCAAGACCTGCCCACCGGCGCCGGCTGCCCTCTGGTTTACAGGCTGCCTGGTGCAGTTTATCAGTCGCCAAGGTGGGGAGAGGGGGGAGAGGGAACTGTTGTTGCTAGGGGTGGGATCCATCGACGGCTCCCTCCCTCTCTTGTGATTATTTGGCCAACAGACCTCCTTCTTTCCTTCCTTCCCTCCCTCCCGGCTCCGCTTTACCTGCTCTCCCGCCGGAGCCGTGAGCCATGCCCGTCCTGCCTAATGGTGCGTCTCCCGGCCTAGACCGCCTTGGCTCAGATCGGCCGAGCAGCCGCGGCCTTTCGAAAGCTCGCTGCTCCCCTGCCAACCGCCGCGCTTGGCTGTCTT